TACAATTATTTGAATTATTAATTGAAATAAAATTTTAAGATTATTACGAACTGTTAATTAACTTGATAATTTATTAATAAAATGATATATTTGTTATGAAATTAGAAATCTTAGGGGGCATATGTAATTTCTAGAACTATAGGGGGTAATTTATAATTTAAGTAAACTTCAGGGGTGTATTTGTAATTTACTCTTATTTTAATATGATTCTTTTTTTAAAATAAAAAAAAAATTACAAATACATCTCATGTGATTTGATTGCCCTCCATGGTTTTAGAAATTATAAATATTTTATTATTAGAATTTTTTATTTAATATAATCAACAGAAAAAATAAAATTCACAATTATTCTTTTATACAATAATAAAATTATCATAATTATTAATTGAAATATATTTTTGACATCATTAAAAATTGTTAATTGATTTAATGATTTAATAATAAAATGATTATTTGTTATGCGATTAAAATTCGAAGGGGTATAATATAATTTTCAAAACCATAAAGGATAATTTGTATTTTAAGCAAATCTTAGAAAATGCATTTATAATTTACCCATTTCTTTTTTCTTTAGGCCAAGTTTGGGAAGTCCCAAATAATCCATCTTTTTATCTTTTTTCTATCACATCACCTCTCTACTTTTCTGTACATCTTTTCGTAAAAAGATAAAAAATACACTTATTTAGGTCATCCCAAACCACCCCTTATTTGGAATGTGAAATTATATCTACAGGAAAGCGATTAGATATAAGTTAGATTAATTAGCCTTAAGCCTGCTTAATTAACTTAATCTAATCTCTCTCTCTCTCTCTCTCTCTCTCTCTCTCTCTCTCACACACACACACACACACACACACACACACATATATACATGAATTAAGAAGAGGAATGAACTCATTTTGTTTACTTTGAGCTTAGATTTAAAGAGAAAAACAGAGCAAAATTCTAGAGAGAGAGAGAGAGAGAGAGAGTGGAGGCTCAAATTTGAAGAATTGGTTAGAGAAGATCAAAGTGTTTGCAAGAATTCTACTAATTCAAGACTCTATGTAAGGATTTTAACCCTAATTCATGTAGATTATCCATCTAATTAATGAATTCATGAAGAGATCGAGGTTAATAGGAGTTAATGGAATGAAATTGCTAGGAAGATGATGATAATTGAGTTATAGGTACATGCATGGTTGAATATGTGATCATTCATTATCTTGAGCATGAATTTTATTATCTATATTGAAATTGGGAGTTGGATTTTACATGCATCAAAGAATTTCAAGTTTTAAAGGTTTAATTTCATGTTTTGAAAGCTTTGGAAAGAGTTTGAAAACAATTCCATACATGCATAAAGTTTTTGAGTCCAATCTTGTCAAATTCATAAAGTTTTGAGTTAATGATTTCAAAGTGGTTATATATTCATGTTATTCAAAGTGTTTTCATGTGTTTGTACCAACCATGCAAGTTTTTGAACTTTTAACTCATGTTTTGAAACTCAATTTCCAATTTTGAAAACTCGGAATTTGGCCTCATCGCTTGAGCGATGAAGTTACAGCTTGAGTGCACATTGTGAACATCCAGTACTTTTGTAGAGTTTTGCCTAAGGCTCGAGCGACCAAGAGTCCGCTCGAGTTAACTCAGTTTTCCTTGCATTCTGCTTGAGTGATCAAGTCTTTGTTCGAGCCTACATTGAGACCATCCAATACTTTTGCATACCATGCAGATTGTTTGAGCGACCAAAGGTTCGCTCAAGCGAACACTTTGTTTTTAGCAACTTTTGAAAGGCATTCTCATGTGCATATTATTGCTCTCATATTCTTTTGAGCATCTTTAGGCATTGCTTAAGCTTCAATGAGGAAATAATGAATTAGGAACCCACTTAAGGAATTGGATTAAGTATTTGGTAATTGTATGAATGGTGTGTTTCAATGTGTATTTGTTATGTGTTTTGTATAGATTGGACACCCAAAGTCTAGCATTTGTTCAGGCCCACTGTGCGTAATATCTCTATAAAGATATGCTTAAAATGTGTTTTGAAAATTATTACATGGATGATATTATGAAATGTTATTTTATATGAATGAATGAACATACCTTTTATTAAATGTATTCGTGACATCCTTTAGTGAGGCCCTGCCTGGGGGATATAATACCATGCCCCTTCAATTATTTGATTTACAGAGGTCTCTGATGTTAGACTTGAGTGGTCCCTTCGTTAGACCTTTATGGTCCCTTCGATAGACTTGAATGGTCCCTTTGTTTAGACCTAGATGATCCTTTTGAATTAGGCCTATTGGTCCTTTTGTTACTCTATTGGATGTTACCACGTAAAATGGACTTTGCGATAGCAAATGCTTTGATATATGATTCGTTATGGAATTGTAAGACATGTTTTTATAATATGATGGACTTCATTCATTAATCTCTTTATTTTGGTATTACTCATTGGGCTTTAGCTCACCCTATTCTCTTATATATATGTAGGTGAGCATTTGGAAGATCAAACATAGAGTTGCTTTGGAAGTCCACCCGTTTTGTGAAGCCAGTTGTGAAGTGCCTCCGTGATGGAGCATTTGCTTAATTTCGAGAGGAGTCAAGCTTTTGAAAAACCTTTTATTCTTTTGTTAAGTTTTTGGTTTTTTTTTTTTATGAACCTATTTGTATGTATGTAAATTAAAGTTTAAACTATTTATGTATATTATGAGCATGGGATGTAATGATTAATATATTGAAGGTTTTCATGTAATAATAGCTCAATGGACTTATTTAATTATTGTTGATTGCTTCTGCTAAGCCCCGCTTATTATTTAATTATTTGATTTTGTCTTTGAGGTCGAAGGTAATCTACGATTACTGGTCGGTCATGACCTTGACCTCTAGGGCCGGATTTGGGTCGTGATAGCTTCCTATTAGGCCCAGCCTATTCCTTAGTCTTGCTTGTTCTATGATTCTCATCGTTGGATGAGGCCTAATCTGACGCCTCTCCTTTATTCTAGTCTTTTAGAGGATTATCTTCCATATACGTTTGTCTCCTCACGTGCCCTGATTGGATGCCAAGTTGTTGCAAATTATCCTTTATGGACTTCAAGAGATGACTTTGGACTTACTACTTCTTTCTTTGGGCTAATGTGATTGGGTTTAGGCTGGGCTCATATTTTTTCCCTCCACAATTGCCCCATTCAGTGGCTAATCTTAGGAGATAGTCGAAGAACTTGTGCCGATCAGATAGCTCTGATGTTCAGTACGTAAGATCATTCGGTCTAATGACACGTATCCTTTCACTTCCTATGCTATTGGGACTGTAATGATGACATCCATCTTTTCGTGTATCGTTTCACTTCTGACACATTAAATGGGGAGGTGACTCCTTCCTTCCATCATTTTGCTTGCACTCCTTTCAGAGACTTTCCAGGCGTGCCTATTCAGATTTCCATCGTTCAAAGCTCTTGCTCCTATTCTTTGTAAGTCCTCTATTTTCTGTCTTTTCTCTCTACTTCCTAGTTCTTTCGTCTTCTTCAATTTCTGTTGTTGTTTTCTTTTTCTTTCCTTTTTCAAAAAATGAACAGCCTTAGACACTTTTTTGATTCTAAGGCGACTCTTCATAAGTTTAGGACTCTCTACCATATCCTAGATGACGTCGTTGTCGGTCTGCCTAACGATAATGACGACGTTGTTGAGGGATCTAAGGTCAAGATTCCTCTGCCTCTCATTGACATTGTTGAAGGGGGTGTTTGTTTTCCCTTACACTCCCTTTTGAGAGAGGTGTTGTGTTTTTATGGCATTGCCCCTTCTCAACTTGCCTCAATTTCTTTAGAATAGTGATGGGAGTGGTGGCATTGAATGAAATTCTAGGGATAAAGCTAGGGTTCCCAAAAATTAAGTACTACTACAATTTTGTCCCAACTACCAAGGAGAAAATAAAATTTTATTTTAAGCCTAGAAATAAGAAGCGCTAGTTTGTCCAGATGCTCCCTGATTCTGGCAAGGGTAAGAATGACATCATTATGATTAGGGCAGTGCACAATACTGCCAAAACTACTCCGAACCACACCGAACTACTCCAAATCGCTCATTTTTTTTTCAATTCTGGTCGGCAGGTGGGTGGGTTAGGGTGCCAGGACTAGCGGGTCAACGTAGGTGGCAGTTTGGAAATAGCAACCCACTGAAAAAATAGACCCGCCCTGCCACTTCGTTAAAAATTTTCCCTTACCACTGTATATACGTCCAGGTTACATTTCCAACCATTAGATTACATCTATCATACCAAATGTACATATGCTCTCACACACAAACAATAAATTCTCAATTAATCCAAATTCACACCTAAGCATCTCATCTCATTCTTTGATCACTGTTGCTTTATGCTCTTGTTCCTCATTCTTCCTTACCTTGCCGATTAGCACTGTCCTAGCCTTTCTGCCACTGCTGTTAGCCTCTCCGCCACTGCTGTCCACTCATCGTTGCTGCAATCTGCTCACCACCATTGCTCTCTCATCTCTGCTACTACTCTCTGCTCGCCGACTTGCTTGGTATGTGGCTCTTTTCCCCCTCTCTCTCTCTTTACTCTCTCTCTATTCCTCAATACCTATCTCTTACCGAAGTGGACAAAAAGGCAAGAGTTTATTAGTTGTTTATTTGACGTATCAAAGCTTTTCCAGATGTATAAAACACAAATTCTTAGTGATGCTCTCATTATATTGTCTGGTGAGCACATGACAGTGCTTTATTTATTTCACTTTAATCAAAGTGCTTTATTTATTTTAATTTAGTCAAAGTACACTCATAATATTGTCTGGTGAGCACATAATGAAAACACAATATTTTAATTTTGACTATTTTAGTTCATTTATAAATTAGATATTTTACTCTTTGATTCAAGTTTTATAATTTTAATTATCTTTTCTTATAAATTGCCAATCCACCTGAACTGCCAAGTCGAAACCGCCATTATTTGCCAACCGAACTGCCGGTTTTTTATAGGAAAAATGGCAGTTTCTAATAACACTTTTATCAATCCACCACTCGTCGTACGGTTTCTATTTTTCTCCTAAACCGCACCGACCCGCATCGCACACACCCCTAATTGTGATCGTTGAGGGAAACTGGGAGTTCCCCTTAGTGCTGATAGGGTTTGGCCCATACCTAAGGCCTTCGGCCGACCAGGTTGAGATCCTATCTCTTTTTTGTTTTTGTTCAGCATTTTCTTTTTATAGTTTTGATTTCTTCGTGTACTGTAGTAATAAACTCTTTCGCCTTCCCCCTCTGGCACAAATTCTGTAGTCTTTTCTCATCCTAGTGAGTGAGAGGATTAGGTCAATATCCCCTTCCCCTAACAAGCTTAGGCTTATAGAGGCCCTTCTGAACAAAGAGGCCAAGGTCGAAAATCTCATGTCCTTCTTTCGTACGTGCCTCACTACGGCAGTGTTGTCAGTACTGAAGACAAGCCTTTCAAAACTGACAGCAATGTTGACTTCAATTTGCTCTCCCATCTTCGTGACGACATTGAGGAGGAGCTAGAGGTTGAAGAGGATCTAGAGATCAAGAAAGAACAAATCTAAGAGGACCTTGTTGATTCGGAGGCCAGTCTCTAAAATCATGCCATCGAAGAATTTCTTGGCAATCCTAGCTAACAAGACATGTTAGAATGATGGTGGATCACCATCCACTACTTTGGCAGCATTCGGATAGTCGTCGATCATTGTGATTAAGGATGCCTCTCTTGCTCCTTCTTCTATTGCAGCCGTCCCCGATCCTCCTCCTACTGAATAGAGTTCTGGTAAGCGTGTTACCGAACAATCTCCAAAGGGGCATAAGAAGGCTGAATTGATCTTTCTTCCGTTCTTGCTGTTGTATCTTCTCAAGAGGCAGGCTCTTCTAGTTCTCTGCTTATTTTGATGCCTACTTTGAAAGATTGGCCTCTCACCAGTACTGATACTGCAATGGGTGATGCTGAATTGGCCACCGCTCTGGTCCGTAACTTATTTCTTCATGTAGATAAGGGTCAGTTGCGAGACCAGTCTAATACGGTCATCTTCTTCTAGGCCTAAGACTTTTCTTTGGTGGTAACTATTCTGTTATTTTATTTTATATATATTTTGTACATACTTGCCTCTTTGCTGACATTTTATTCTTACAGGGTCTTTGTTCTGCTCATGAGGCCATGTGTCACCATGACAAGTTCATCCGAGCTTCCGACAAGCTCAAGTCCTCCAAAGAAAGGCAAGATGAGAGAGTGAAGGTGCTGGAGGTTAGGCTAGTGGCTTCTGAGGCAATGCAATAAAGACGGAGAAAAAACTTCTGACAATGGACATCGTGCTAAAGTCTTTTGCCAAAGAGATTGCCATCTTGAAGGAAGAAAGATATCAATTTTTTACTGCTCTCAATGCATCTAAGGCTGATCATGATGTAGCCATTAAAGCTGCAAAGGATGAAGATGCAACAAGGTTACAGCCAGATATGAAGAGTAGTTCACCAAGCTAGAGAACATCTTTTTTGAAGATGGATGGATGACTGCTTTCTATGCTGTTGACATTCCAGATGGGTCCGAGCTGAGGAAGAATATCCCCTACCCTCGACTTGAGGTGTTAGAGAAGCCAATTGAGAAGGTTGCTGAAGCTGGAGAAGACCCCCTTGCAACAATCTGAAAAAACTTTGTTTTTCTTTCTTCTTCTTATTTATTTATTTATTTATTATTATTATTATTTTTGTCTGGGATGGAATCGTAAAAATCTTTATGTAAACATTGTTTTATGATTTTTTGAATATGAATTTCCTTATTGTTCTACTCTCTATTTATTTACGCTTGTTTATACTATATATATATTTGTTATGTATGTGTGATTGGAAAATCACTTTGTAAGATTATCTCTAGAACAAGAAATCGGCAGCATTTTTGTCGATGTACTTTTCGATAGGAAACTATTCAAGTTCGTTTCTTGCATTAAGCAAGATATCAGTCAGTATTCCTGCCGATGTACTATCTCTTGGATAGGTTTCTATTAGGAAATCATCGTAGGTTTATTCCTTGCTCTAAGCAAGAGATCGACACCATCCTTGCCGATGTGCTATCCCTTGGATAAGTTTTTATTAGGAAACTATCGTAGATTTATTCCTTGCTTTAAGCAAAAGATCAGCAACATCCCTGCCGATGTACTACCCCTCGGATAGGTTTTATCTTGCCAACTTTAGCATTAGGTTTAAGGTTTTAGGGCTCTAGCTTTAATGTGCTTATGTCATGTGGACACCTATTGCCCATTCTGAGAGCTCATCAGTGTTTTGCATTAAATGCGATGGTACGTTCTTCAAATCGAAGCGACGTGCACATCTAAGTAGTGTGACATTTCCTTTCTTTTTACGTAAATATGGGTTCAAATCATTACTTTGATATTTGTGATCCCATTCGACAGCATTTCCTATCAAGACATCCTTAGGTATCGACACCTTTGCTCTCGGGGTTTCTGGTTTCACTATTCAAAAAGCTTCCCTCCACTTTTTGTTCATCATTCTCTATTTGTAAGTCTCTCTACTCTTCAAACATTTGCTTTGCGACAATAGGCAAATACGCCTATCTTGTTAGTTCTTCTACGGAATTAGAACACTTTCGAGCGACTTAAGAAGCTCGGCTTTGAGGGGGATTGCTATCGAAGCCTCTCGCCTTAGTGATAATTTGATAATTTCCTTAAACGATAGAGTTCCATGGCTAGTTTCAGCCATTGTAGAGGGTAGGGTTAGGTTTCCTCTCCACTCCCTTCTTCGCGATGTTCTTTCTCATTATAGGGTTCCACCATTTTTACTCAACACCAATTTCTTCAAGATTGTAAATGGGATGTTATCCCTAAATAATCTTTTGAACATCAACCTAGGTTTAAAGGACCTTCAATATTGCTATAGCCTTTGGTAGTCTAGTATTGGAGCATTTTTCTTAGATTCCAAGAGTTGAGATCGGGGCCGCTCGGGTGCTTCCTAGGTTTTTCTTAGTAGACATGAAAGATGTCGTCATGCTTTTAGGGAGTTCGGAATTCACTTCCCTTAATTTTGCACCTAGTGTTGCCACCGTGCCTCGAGTGTTGGGTGCAGGTGATTTTTCTTGTCTTGAATTACTTGTTGGTCACCGACAAGTGAATACTTACAGCTAGGACGAAGCTTGGGGTATTAACCTTTCTACTCTTCAAGTTGTCTGGAGATTCAGAGGAGTTGCCTCACGATCAACCGAGGTATTAATCGACCAATACCTTCCTCAGATTGCTCCTATTATACCTTCTTTTCTTTTTGCCACCTGCGCTTATTGTTGCTATAGAGGCGGTTGAAGCGGCTTAGGAGCAATAATCTCTGTTGCCATTGCTATTGGTTGACTTTGACTACCTCGAGAGCACTGAACAAGGTCGAGAGAGAACATCAATCCCTGTTGAGTTGTCAGATTCTTCTACTACAATGACGCGAAGTCGCCGATGTTCTAGATAACCCTACTTGCCACCTGTGTCGATTCGAGAAGAAGATCAAAGTGTGGCCCACAGGTCAGCAAAACATTCGCTTGAGGAAGTACCTCTATCAAGTCATCGTCGCCTTACGACAGGTGAAAGTTAAATGGAGGCCTCGTTTGAAGGTCCTATAGAATATGTCTTCCAATTGATGATAAGAAATCGTGCACTGAATGAACGGGACTCCGTCCTTTCAGAGATGGGTGTAGCGCCGGCGATGGCCCAATGCATGCCCATCCTTGCCAACATTCAACAGCTGGAAGATCTGTCCGATCAGTAGGTCTTCGGGCGTAGAATCCATATCATAGTGAAGGTAATTTACTTTTACTGTAGTTCATATTCTTTCTTTTGGTGACAAATATAGGCTTAATCTTTAGTATTGATGCCTCAAGTGATCAACCTATTTATAGAGGCTAGTGTTCGAGTCACTCGGGAGAGAAATTGCCGAGAGGAAGCGAGCAAACAGATAGGGGTGAACCTCACCCGAGCAGAAGAGAGAATCATTACAGCTGAATCCAAACAAATAACTACTGATGAGAACTTTTAAGCTACAACCCAACAATTGGATCAACTTAGAGCTGAACTCAAGGCCACCAAGGCTACTTTCGAATAAGCTAGAGCTCGGTGGGAGGCTGATGTGAAAGAGGCGACCAAGGTTGCTTGGCTTGAAGCGGATGCTGCTTACCTCGACCAAATGAACAAAATGAAGAACTTCTTCTTCAAATATGGTTAATGAGGCGAGCTGGAGTGGTTGAGCGCTCCCCTTTGTTCAATCAAGTCCTTTTTCTCAATCCCGATGTTCCTATCTTAGCCAAGCTGGAGAACTTGTAAACTTGAACTCCTTTTTATTTATTTATTTTTTGACGTAAAGAAGTTTTTTTTACAATTAATGGAAAAAGTTTTTCTAAGAACAGTACCAAACCTTACTTTTATTCATTATGCTTGTACGTATAAGCATTATTACATCATAATTACAAGGCTAATGGTAGAATTTCTTCAAATATAGTGCATTCCATGGCCTAAGGAGAACATTCCCTTGCAGGTCTGTGAACTTGTATGCCCCTTACCCAGCTATGTCGATGATTTGGTATGGTCCACTCCAGTTTGGCACAAGTTTTCCATCAAGCGCCTTGTGATCGTTTGGCAAAACCTTCTTTAAAACCAAATCACCAATGTTATATCCCCTTTGCCGAACTCTTTTGTTGTACGCCCAAGCTATCTCTTGTTGGTACTACGCAAGGTAGATGGATGCTTTCTCTCTCTCTTTTCTTTGGATAGATCTAGCATCTTCATGATTAAATCTTCATTTAATCATTTTCCCACTAAATTGGCCTTCCTATAAGAAGCTCGGCTTTGAGGGGGATAATGACTTCTATATCATATACTAAAGAAAAAGAGTCTCGTCTGTTACCCTTCTTGGTGTAGTTCTGTAGGCCCAGAGCATTGCTGGAAACTATTTAGCCTATCTCACCTTTGCGGCCTCCAATCGCTTCTTCATCCCATTTAGAATTGCCTTGTTAGATGCTTCTGCCTACCCATTGCTTTGTGGGTAAGCATGGGTAGAATAGTAGGCCTTGATCCCATACTACTCACATAGCTCTTGATATAAGCCATGATCAAATTGTGTACCATTATCAGATATAAGGGCCCTTGGTACACCGGACCCGGTGATAATATTTCTCTACACAAATCTTTTGATATCTACGCGTGATGCCTCAAATTTTACTCTTAGGGTCAAGGTAACGTAACTAAAGAGTTCTTTTGTCAATAACCAAATAAGATCCCAGGAAGGTTAGAGGAGTCAATATAGCCTCTTTTCTATGTCCAACCACCGTAGATAGCAAGCTATCTTTTTGACAGATCTTAAGAGGTATTAACAAGGTCTCATAAGTAACAAGGAGGTATGTATAAAATTACAAAAAGATATATATAAGCAAGTATTGATTACAGAGTTTCAAATTTTGAAATAAATAAATAAATAAAAGCATGGATGGACTTATAAGCAAAATGGTTTCTAACTTCCTCGAAGATTGCCAACAATCTTTAAATGTCTCCGGCTCCTCGTCACCCCCATATGTTTTTTCAACACCTGGCATGAAACACTATGAGCTTGGAATGCCAAGTAAACGCACACATACCTCATCCCATTTTCCAATCCAATACACAATTGTAATTATGACAATAGGAAATAAAGCATGATATTCAAGTAAATAACAAATGGTTACAAGGTTAGCTGTTAGTAGTCTAGAAATCCCCCAAAGAGATTCCATTCTCCAAATCACAAGAATCGAACTTGGATTATTCGATATGCCCCCTCTTTTGCTTCTTTGCAGAACTTACCCCAGATGCCTACCAATGGTTACATACCACATAACGCCAACCGAGGACCTCAAAAGAGACTGTAAAATAAGGGCCTTGCCTATTCCCTCCTTACACCAAGCACCTAGGGTTGAATACAACCGATCCGTTCAAGGGTTCCGAAACATCACTTGTTCAAGACTTTACTTTAGATAGGGAAGACATCTCAGCAGCCAAATCAATTCAAATACGACATTTCCTCACAATATTATTCAAATGATCGGAACCCAATGACCACCCCAATTAAGTTTTCCATTGAGTTAGATGTCTTAAGTTAAAGTTAGAACAAGCTTATCAAGAAAAATATATCTACATAAGTATGAGCATTATCAAAGGACTATGGTAAGGAATTAACTATATCACATGCAAAAATCATACCAAGACATGAACAAGTGATAATAAGCACATCCACGGAGTTAGGGACATAAATTCATCAACAAAAGTAAATTTCCAAATTTGGTACACTTTAAAGTTTGCAATTAAAGAGACATTTTTAGATTTTTCATAAACTTGGCCTTCATATTGTTTTTAGATTTCATATAGTTTTCAAAACATTTTTCAGAAGTGTCATAGCTTTCCTAGATTTTTAGTTATTTAAGAAATACTCCAATGTTGTCCAGATTCGTAGACTGTTACGAAAATCAGGTTTTCTCTCAAACCACTAACTCTTCTTCAATAATTTTTTTTCCACGAAAGCTAACACTTAAAGGAAGGTTTTGACAGAAAAATTAAGTTGAGGAGATTTTTCTGAATTTTTGTAGAATTTTTGCAAGTGAGCTATAAATATCGGTTCTTTAGGCACAAAGCTTGAAATGAGAGAAAAAGTAAGAAAAGAGGGTAACCATGGATAATTTTTCACTTCTATTATGAAGAAAACATGCTAATAATATATATTAAACTCACAAATTTGGATTGAAGGTGTGCCCTTGGAAATTATGTGAGATAGGTA